TTTCATATAAATAAATTCAGGCTCTATGTGAACTATTTGAAGTTCAAAGGTATCACACAGTTCGTACCATCCTCAAACCAATTCAACGAATGAACCGAACGATCGCCATAACTTTACGTACACTAGTAGCTAAAGATCAGCAGCCGGTTGTACGAACGTGTTATTAGTCTAATGAGTCATTAAGTCCTCATTAGCCTAATGCATCATAAAGGCTTAATGAAGACTTAATGACCCATTAGGCTAATGCCACGTTCGTACAACCGGCTGCAGTAAAAGTGGCACAAGTTAATCACTAGCGTTATGATGGCCTTACGTATGTCTACTAATACTGAATCAACTGGTTATTCTCCATTTCAAATGTTGTTTGGCAAAGAAATGAACTTGCCATTTGACATTTCTGTTAAGCCTAAAAATGGTATGATTAAAACTGCTAAGAATCATCTCGATACCCTGATTGATCACCGAAATTACACCCAAAGTGAGACGGTCCATTTTATGTAACAGATGTTGGACTAAATAATACATGTAAATTAAGACGATGTTCAGATCATAAGTTGATTAAGTCTCGTATATATACATACAAATAGAATAAAACCTTTTATTGGTCCGACAGATCATAGGGATATTCCTGAAATTCAAAGAAATGTTGTTGAAAATAATAGAGATAGAGTAGGTGATATAGATAATGTTCAAAATGACAATATAGATAGATCACAAAATGATGCACAAATGCAACAAAATATGAAGCCTCGAGGGTTGCCACAAAATGAAGCCTCGAGGGTTGCCACAAAATGAAGCCTCGAGGGTTGCCACAAAATAAAGCCTCGAGTGTTTCCACAAAATGGTGATACTAATGATGAAGATAATGAATTCATAGCAGAAAAATTACTTGCCAAAAAAGCGTAGGCAAGGCAAAAACCATTATAAGGTCAAATGGGTAGGTTATAAAAAAAAAACAAAAGGGGAGCCTGAAGAAAACATTGGTGAGGGTCTATTGGTTGAGTTTTACAATAAATTTATAAAATCAGGCACGAAGAGAAAAAGACCAACTAGTGTATTTGTGAAACAGACAACTCCATAAAGTAATATTGAATGTTATAAAACAAATATAGTGATAAGTTTTAATATCTGTCGGATTCAAGTTACCAAGTATGCAATTGAGTTTTTCTTAAGTGACCAAGTAACATCACAGAATTTTAGAGCTAAAAATTTTGGCCAAAAACGTGTTGGCCAAAATATCATAATTAGAAAAGTCAAGTCGTCTTTTATACTTTCAATGTACATTGCGAACAAATATAAGATAGTGCAGAAATTCTAAGCTCAATTGAAGTTGACCTGAAAAGTTCACTGTGTACAAGCAGTTAACAAAAAATCCGGAATCAGCTTCGCATCTTTTCTTTTTTGATACAAAATTGATACAAAATTTTCCGGTAATAATTTATTGTACTGTTTATTTAGACTTCACATTTTACTAAGTGTTGCGACTGGAAAGTATTTCTTTTTATCATTTTATATTTTATGATTGTTCATGTGCACTCGAAACTTCGCCGTCGTACGGAAGAGTACGAGTTAGAAATAGTAGTATTTGTATTTTTTTTATCTAACAGTTTCTTATTGTCATTTCTTCTAGAGCAATCCTTATGATGTAAATTTAAAAATGGACAACCAAATATTTTATTGAAATGTCTTTTTATACGTCGACCGGTTATCTCATCAATGTGTGTACAAGGGTTTTGATTTTTGAATATTAAGTTCTCAATCAAAACCGTACTTTGACCTATAATTGTTCACATTTTACACATTGTGACTTGGATGGATAGTTTTCTCATTGGCACTCATACCGCATCTTCTTTTTTATAAATCATCAAGTACGAAGAGACATTAATTGTATTAATGAGAATCTTGTACAGTACAACTGATATCGTGTATTGTATTACTACCACTTTATCGATACCTTTGTTGGTCGGATGTTAGTATCAGAATTGACTTGCAGGGTAAGATTAACTGTCGTTTGACTGTTAGACTTGGACTTAACCAACAGCACACCTTGCGGACAAAGGGGGGATAAGCAAGGACCTGAAACAGTAATGACAAACACAGTGAAATGATTTTGTAAGATCTTGTTTCTTCAAAAGCGCATGTGAAAGTCATATTTAATTAATAACAATATAATAGTATACAATGCAAATAATAGAAACATATAATTCATATAATTTTCCAATATAAATGATCAATTAATATTCTTTACGTAAATGCATGAGCATATGCATATTAAAAGACGAACACGTATGCTTATAATACTTCTAATAAATAAAAGCTTATCTAGCATTCAAATATATGAGCAAGATGGTGACTAAATATTAAACGTATGAGCATAATGCGTGTCCTAGTATTTGAACCTAAGAGAGCATAAAGCATGTGCCGAACAGCATAAAGTGTTGAATACATATTATCTTAACAATGAACATGTATAATTATGTTGAATACTTTTATCTTTTGAATAATAAACATGGTAGAGCATACATCATGTATATTGCGCTTGTAAAAACTTAAACTATACAAAACCTATTAACCCAAAATTAGCCAATTCCGACAATGAGCATTGGTTGAGAAATATTTTCTATAATTCTACTTCAAAGGGGGAATACTTTTGATGATGAAATATAGGAATAATCGAAATCGAGACAAACCTAGCATTACGAAACTAAACGTGATTATCCAAATATCATGAATATAAAACAGTATCATGTGAAATGGGGAAACTAGCTTTAAAACAGACATATATGCTTGCTTTTATCAAAAATTCATGACTCGTAATGATGATATAGGGCTAAACTACAAGACTAGTTTGCGATAAATAATTACTTACTAAATTAACCTACACATGTGGAAATTACGCATAAAGCGTTTCTTAAAATAATCAACATCTTACCCTTGCGGAACTGACCTTAATTCTTATTAAGTATGAACAAGCGATAAATTAAATTATCATTTCCAATATGCGAGCGTAAAACTAAATTCTATTACGCGTTTAAAAATACCCTTAAGTACAGAACATTTGTGAAGAATAAACGAACCTTTTTTAAAAAAATATTTACATCTATTTACACTTGTAAAGAAATAATAATTTGATCTGAAATTCTTTACGTGCAGAACTCATATATATTTAACTTCAACTGTAATAAATAAAAAGGAAACGAAACTTTATGAAGTTTTTACGACTCATTTGAATAAATAATGAAAGAAACACTAAAAGAAAATGATTAAACGAAGTATATTAACTTTGAATAAATAAAATACTTGACTCATCTGAAACAGTAAATGATAAACACAGTGAAATGGTTTTGTAAGAAAGTGCATCTTTTGAGACCGAAATTCACTTGTTCAATTTCGCGTTACTGTTTCAGGTTCGACCAATCAGATTCGTTAAACACCCAAACCACCTTAGTTACCTTGATATTTTGGGGTAAAAAGGGGCGTGGAAAGATCTTTGCTGGACAGAACAAAGAACCCTAATTGACCACGTTACCTAGTCTAAGACATACATGTATGTTGTTTACACAACAACTTGTTTGTGTTTAAAGGAAAATAGACTTAGAAAAAAGACAATGTCTAATTGTGTCCACTTAGCTTGTCGCTAAACATCTTATATTGATAAAAATAAAGCTTAACAAGAAAATCTAAAGTGACAAATGCCAAAATAAATATCTGCTAAAAATGAACTTCTTATTCTAAATCTATCGAGAATATAAAAATGGTTTCCTTCAACAATTATGAACGAATATAAATCAAAAATACTTCTAATCACAATAGCAGCTTCGAAATTAACTTTAAATAAATAAAATATATTAAACTTATTCCTTTTTGCTGAAAACTAAATTTTCACAAAAATATAAAATGACTCTATGACATTAGTCCCATAGGGTCTCTCAAGCCTAGTAACCGAGGTTGCCAATGGGTCAATTTCAGTAGCTAATTATGTACTAAGTACGTCAGCACTCGCATGAAAAATGGATATTGTTAAATAATAATAAAAAATAAAACAACTTGTACAACAACAACAGTTAAAGTAAAACCTTTATCAAAAACTACTAAAAAAATCATTTCTGTATAAATTTGTTTACTTTAAAAATATTATCATAAATAAAAGCTGAAAAATGAAATTATCCTCATACAGAACACATCCAGAGATTGATAATAAGATCCAGTAAAAGGTTTTGGTCGAGACGTACTGCAGACCGGACGGTATGTTAATATTATATATTTTCCGGTAATTCCGTGCCAGATGATGATTAATGTCGGGCCTATAGCCGACTATACGGTATGGGTCTTTTCATTGCGGTGGCCTATATATGCTTTCATCAACTTCAATTGAACTTTGGTAGACTTTAAATATATATAATGATATCTATCGGGGAAATGCTGACCATACCACCAAGTGAATTATTTAATTATGATGTATTAAAAACAAAGAAATGTAGTCAATATATATCTCAACATACCAAATCAATAAGCAGTGAAGTGTTATAAATATAAATGCCATAGCATAATTGCATGATTACCCTTCATTATACATCAGCCTCATTGAATTGTTAAAATATTTCATTTTAAAGCAAGTGCTTATACGGTGAAGAAGTTAAGTAAATTGTGTCTTTTATACATACTTTGAATGTGCAATTAGGTTTTTAGCGTCACATTTTCGAATTTAAATTATAGCGTTTTACTTTTTAAACCATAATGAGTAAAGACGAAGCCATATGTTTATTACAAGATCGGATTTGTGTAAACAAATAATTACATTTATTTAAAACGATGAATACACATATTTTACATCTATGTGAATATGTATACTTTGATTAATTTACTATAACACATATAATGAATGCCATATTTTATTGTATAGCCTTTGTTATGTTTTTGGTGACGTTCATTGGGTGCTCCGTGAATGGTGCTATAGTGTATGTAGTTTTAGTCAATAAACATCTCCAAAATGTGAACAATACATTTGTAGTATCGATGTGCATTGATGGATTTCTTATATCAAGTGTTGGTACAATTTTTACTGCAGCAACGAGTGTTAGAGGAGAATGGATTTTTGGAGATTCAGTTTGCCAGATGCATTCCTTTATAGTATTCTTTCTTGGCCTCGCAATCATCGCTACTTTGACCAGCATGGCTGTAGAAAAATACATAGTCATAAAAAAAGAATCAAGAAATATAGTAACAAAACGAGTGTGCCTATACATTTTGCTTGGATGTCATTTGTACGGTTTAGTGATTGCTGTAATGCCATTCCTTGGATGGAACCAGTATCAACTTGAAGGATATAACATCACATGTTCCTTAAAAATGGACGGCAACGACACGAATTCAACTTCTTTTAACATTTTTATGTTGATAGTGGGATTAGTATTACCTTTAGCCATAATGGTAACTGTCTATTCCAAAATTATTATCAAGGTAAGTGTCAGCCGTTCATTTAAACTTATGTTTATTTCGCCCTTAAATTTGACCCAACCTAATCTGATTTTGAAATAAAGATACCGATAAAAATATGTAGTCGAAAGACGGAAAAAAACTTACCAAAAGAAATATTTTTCTATAGAAAACCCTCTTCAGGTTAGGGGAGGGTTAAGCACTTAGAAACATGATTAACCCCGCCATATTCTTTATGTGCCTGTCCCAAGTCAGGAGCCTGTAGTACAGTGGTTGTCGTTGGTTCATGTCTGTTTTATTTGTTTTTCGTAAATTGTTTTGTTATAAATTAGGCCGTTAGTTTTCTCAATTGAATTGTTTCGTATTTTTCATGTAGGGGCCTTTTATAGCCGACTACACGGTATGGATTTTTCTCATTGTTGAAGGCCGTACGTTTGCCTATAGTTGCTTACATACACTTCATTTGAATTTTGGTGGATAGTTGTCTCATTGGCAATCATACCACATCTCCTTGTTTTTATATTAACAAAGCGCGACAGATTATTTTTTAGAAATACGCGACAGATTATTTCCTAGAAAAGCGCGATAAGTTTTTACCTAAAAATACATTTTTGGCAGACAAACCACACTTAAACTGATGATGAATTAATATGGTATGGAAAGGTACAAAATCTGCTCCACTAGTGCCACACAATGCGGCCAACTTAAGGTGCATTTGTAACTTTTCAATATTATACCAATTAATAATCATAATTCTTGTGCAACACTATCAATGTCTATTTCCATCTAAATTTGTCGACGAACGAGTCATACAATTACGATAACTAACTCAAGGACTAAGAAATAAAGATAATGATAGAACACTGTGCGGGACAAATTTGCCATTCCAGAATTGGCAAATCTGACTTTGTTGTTTTACAAGATATCAAAAATGTTTTTGGCCAAGTGATAGATAATTAAAAAGAGAAAAAAAATTCCCATGTGTCCCAATGTGTCACTGATCACTGTTGTCACTACAGCTGATTAAAAGTACATTTGACCATGAGAAATTTAAGAATTCCCATGTGAATATTAGAAGTTCCCATGGTCAAATGTAAAGTTCCAATAGGAACTTTAAAGTTCCAATGGGAAAACAAGAATACAAAAAGTTCCCATTGGAATTTTACTTTTCCTCTGGGAACAATTTTACTTCCCATAGGAAAATTTATTCTTCCTATGGGAACAATTTTTCCTCCCATGGGAACATAATTTTCAATGTGAACATGTTTTTCCATTTGAGAAAAAAGTTAAATGCAAATACAGGATATATGTTCAATTATTGTAGTATGCAGGTTTCAACAAGATATACATATGGTTTCGCATAGAAAGTTGCATTCAACATGCAACTTCCACGAAACTCTGATTATCCAGTAAAAATATGAAGCAATGAGAAGTAAGTTCTTAAATAAAGTTGTGTGTGTGTGTGTGTGTGTGTGTGTGTGTGTGTTGTGATAAACAAAATATTCTTTCGCAATATGTGTGTACATTTTGCTTCTTTCGTTTAAATATTATTCAATTGTTCCATAAAAATAAATCTTTTAAATGCTGGATTCATGATTAGTACAATATATATTTAAGGCGTTATTGTGTCATGGAAGGATTTCAAATATATTATTTGCCTCGGCCTGTATGAAATTCCTATAAAAAAAAACTGACAAATAGTCTGTCACCAACATTGTTTGGAAATAGATATGAATAAGAGGAGATAAAGGTATAAATCAACGAGACGACAATCCAACAACACAAAATAGCTGATGTAGTCATTTTAAGAATCACCAATAGTTTAAATGGAGATTATGACAAATTAACCATCAACAATAAATTCACTTTAAAAAAATAAAAACATAATCATTAATACGTGGCAAATGATAACCCTGATTACCGCTGGCAAAGTTCCAGTTTGGGGACAGGACCATAAAGATATGTTGAGGTTGAACTTATTAATTTATTCTTATAGGGAAACAATTTATCCATAGCCGAAAATGTAGAAGGCTTGATAATTATATAAAAAAAAATGTTCAAACAAGAATAATTTGATCTTATCTCGCAATATGAGAAATAGCAGTGACTGTATATTTTTCCTTTTTTCAACTTTCTGGTGATATACAATGAAAAAGACGATAATGCTCCTTCAAACTGTATATTATTAATCTTTAATTCACACCCGTAATTGTACATGCAAATCTGGATTCGTTTTTTATATTTAATTGAGAGATCATAAAAGACGAATGTAACAAAGACTTTCAAAGGTGTTTGCGAAAATGAAACAAAATGAAATTTCTTTTTTAGTCAAGTAACAAATTGAATAAGGAAATTTGATCGAATGAATGAAATAAACTTCAAAAAAATCTTTTTTAATAAAGTGGCAAAAGTACACACAAATTGAGTTACGTCGATGAAAAAGAATAATTATATCAATAATAATTATAATGTCAATTTCATAAATTCATAAATTCAAGGGTTGTAGATAGAAAACGAAGGTAGACATAGCTCTGATCGTTGTCCGTTCAGCGAACAATATTACATGAAATGCAGGATGATAGCAATAGAAAGCGAAAGAGAAAGATTTAATTGTAAAATCAGAGCTTTCCTTAAATTTAACATTCAAATTATTATTTTGGAAAACAGCAGCATACATGTTTTGATTTAAGAATACTACTGATGTACTTAACAATTAGCAATGTAGTCAATACAGCTGGCTCTCCACGAGTTCGGGATGGTTTTTTTTTGTTCAACAACCTAAAAAGATCAATCGGAATTGGCATTTTCTTCTTTTCCACAAGAACGCAGTATTAATGAGTAAAGTTGGAAGAATAGATTAATTTGGCTCGAATTTACAATAATGCAATCTGGTAGACATAATCTATTGCCGTCATACGCTCACTGTTTCATTTTAGAACAAAGCAATGCCTTTTATATGTTCTTCGACACATATGTTTAAAGATTTGAATTAAAGGTTACAATTGTAGCATAATGAACTGCATTTTCACTGACTCAAATTTAAATGTTCTGTTGAATCAGTTGATCATCTAAGAGGTCATCGATGTGTAATACTTACTGCTGGACGTTAAACAGTAACCAACCAATCTACGATGATACAATACAATCAATATATTTCTATCAATCATTTACTTACAGAAAAAGACTTTTGAATATAAAAGTATGATACAAATGCCTTTAATTTAGTGTATTTTTATTTTATCGAAACGAAAATTTTATAAACTATGGATACCGAAAAATATAAAAAAGGTGGAGGCATTTCTTGTGCAGTTGATAGTTGTACAAATAATCGTAGATGTGGAAAATAAATCAATATTTGAATTACATAACGAGTTGCACAATGACTGCCTTTGTTTGATTCCATATAACATGTATAAGTCTCATTTGATGCCTTCTGACGAGCCAACAAAACTTGAGTGGATCAAAGTTATAAACAGAAAAACTTTGCATAAACAGGGTTTTGTATGGTCCGGACATTTTTTTTGGATGGTGCACCGACTGCACACAATCCGTTTTTTTTTTAAATAAAACTTGTTTTGAAATTAAAATTACACTGGCAGACGAATGTTGACACGTCGTGAAACTACTGTAAAAAAACTTAAATAAATCTATGAAAATTAATCCGATGACTACAGTGCATCTGTCTCTTTTTTGTATAGAACATCCACACTTCAGATGCGGATCCAGGATTTTGAAAAGGGGGAAGGGGTCGCGGGCCCCCAAACTAGACAAAATTTGTAGTGGAAGCGGTAAAAAGTCTGGATTAACCATAAATGAAGCGCCATAAGGGAAACCTACCCCAGGCTACATGTAATTTTAATTGTAAGCAAATCAACCCAGTATGAAGAGACGAATTTTTTTATTCATGACGACTATTTTTATGCTGCAAAATGGACAGACATTAATTTCGACAACATCAACTCAGACAAAAATATTGTTAACAGAGGAGTAAGGAGTTCAAAATTAAATAAAAGGGGGGAACCACGTCAGCGTATAGAAATATTATGAATGACAGTAACGCCTTATTGTATACTTATGTAACTAAGTTTTCTTTTCTTTAGTGGAATTACTACACAAATTTAATTTTTACGATTTGGCAGATTAGCTGTTGCTCGATCGTATTGATGAGGTTAACACTTAACGTTAGTTTGATATTTGGTTATTTTGGACGGCGCTTTCATATTTCGAAAAGTAAGGCTTGTAAAATATTTTATTCCTGGGTGCCAGTTCTTGCTGAAAACCTTAAAGGTTTTACAAACAGCTGCACCCATAAACAAATCCTAGCAAAACTTACTATTAATGGCCGTTCCCTATAAGCCTCATCTTAATGGTCAATATATATGATATATGTAGGCCTGTACGTGTGTTTAAAGTATATTCACTTTACTTTCTTTATACGACGTATACAGTAACTTCTGTTTAAACTTAATTTGAACTTTCCTCATCAGTAGATTATTCTGTGCATGAATTATAAATTGGTTTTTGTTTAACATTAAAAAGGATTTTTCAAAGGTCTTGGTAATCAAATAGTTTACTAGAACCTACCGACCACAAGCGCAAAACTCTCGTCTCTGTTAAAAAGTTTATTAACATCAGCAGAGACAAGTAACTGCGCGTCGGGGAAAACGGGCTGTCGAATGATAGGACGGTCGGATTAGAGGATTGTTGAATTTTAGGACTGTCTCATTATCGGTCTGACCACCGAAATTTCTAGGATTTGATAAAATTGCAACTGGTTTTTCTAATATATCACATTCGACCCGGCAAGACAATTTATTTTTAATTATGTATGTGTTATAATAATCAATGTTATGATTACCAAATGATTATAATCGATATGTAACCTGGGATTAGTATTCGTATATATTATGCCCCGGGTGTAACGTACCAAATACAGTTATATTTTAAGGACAAGACACCTGGTCTGCAATACACTTATAATTCTAATGTCCATTCCTTATCTAATTACTTTATTATTTACAGCA